ACAATCTGCGACAAAAGTGAACAAGCTATTCACAATAGGGAACGACGGCTTGACCGGTGGGCGGAGTACTTCAACGAACAGCTCAGCTGGCCAGGCGCTAATTAGGCTATCTCCTCCGATGTTGCTGGGGCTGTATAGGTAGTGGCATCTGAACCTCCTACTGCAGCAGAAATTCCTTCTTGCATCGAAGCCCTGAAGACGAGCTTCCTTCCATTCTTTTCAAGATGCGGTGGGGGGATGACTAAGTTACCAGTTACCAAGTTACTAGCCTCCACCATAATTCCACGTCTGACGCCGTTTAGGAAGACAAAAATCCGCGAACAACAAGCAGGATGTCGACCAGGTCGCGTTTGTATCGATCATATCTTCACTCTGCATCAAGTCCTCGAGCTACGCCATACGCACCGTCGACCAACGGTTGTTGTGTTCCTTGACGTAAAAGGAGCCTTCGACTCAGTTGACCGCGAATCCATTATGGGTTCGCTTTTTCGCAAAGGAACGCCGCACAAGTACGTGAACATACTGTCTTCACTCTACTCACATACTTCTGGTAGCGTTAGGGTCTACGGCGGGATGAATAGGTCGTTCGTAACTAGCAGCGGTGTTCGTCAAGGGTGCCCTCTTTCGCCATTCCTGTTCATTTTCTTCAATACTGGAGAACACACTAAGTGGTCTCCAAAATGTTGGTATGGAATGGGCAACTGGTGAAAAGCGGTGCGATTTGGAGTACGCTGACGACATCGTTTGCTTGTTCGAATGTATGGAGGATGCACAAAGAGCACTTGACAGATTAGCAAATTCTGTCGCTTCGTTCGGCATGTGCTTTGTACCTTCAAACTGCAAAGTGGTGCTACAAGACTGGGTGTCACTGAGTTCTGTTCTGAAACTAGACGGTCAGGAATTAGTTGACTGCTTCTCGTACTTAGGTAACTGCGTGACCAACGACGGTAGCACATCGAAGGAGATAACCACCCACATTTCCAAGGCTCGAGCAGAGTACGCAGGACTAAAACACCTGTGGTGGCGACGTGACGTGTCACTCAAGTTGAAAAGTCGCGTATACTGCGCCACTGTACGATCAGTTCTGCTTTACGGTTGAGACCTTGAATTTGCAGTCAGAATATATCCATCGTTTATCAGTGTTCGACAATCGATGTTTGCGTAGTCTGGCCCAGATGGGATGGAGTGAGCGGGTTAGTAGCTTAGAAGTAAGTCGTCGGTGTTTGGGAATACATCAGACAAGAACCTGCTATCTCATCGAATCCAGCTCAGTAGGCTCCGTTGATTAGTACACGTTTTGCCTATGTCCGACGGTCGCCTACCACAGCGCGCCTTGTTTGCAGTGGCTGTTACAGGCTGAAGAAAGCCACGTGGAGACGAGGCATGAAGAAATGCACAGAGCGACTAGGTAGAGTAGGTGTCTCTCGTCTTCCGGGCTGGGGTCCAAAAGAATCCGAAACCGCATGGCTGGAGATACTNATACTGAAAGACATGGCTGCAAACCGACAGCAATGGCGATCATGCTGTCACCTCTTATCAGTCCAGAATGCTTGAACTAGTATGTATGCAAAGCTGGACTGTGTACTCTTTGTGTTGACCATAGAGGTTCGCTTTCTTTTCCCGTCCCTAAAAATAGGCCTTATCCCTGTCTTCCTAACACATTATCACTCATCTTGAATGCAATATGAGTTTGGCAGCGATCAGTGAAGTTCGCTTCACTGTATTACGCTGTACAATGATGATGATGATGATTATGACTTTTCCCAACCCGGCAAGAATAAATCTCCAGAGCGGTTTAACCATGCATGTGACCGTACTGTACGCCTAAAACATCAGCCTTGCGCCGCTCGCCGACTCATCATCGCTTCGTGCAAGTTAGGGACAGATCCTCGACGACTATTCCGAGAACCAAAAAACGCTTCGTTCTCCGTAAAGCAGAAAACTTCGTCTTGTCCGCCCCCGGTAGCTGAACACTTTGCTCCATTGCCAAAGGAATTTTTCATTATTTCTGCTCTTCCAACTTTCCCATCTGTAATTCCTCTGGTGTTCTTGTATATCAGCCGCACGAGAAAGCTGAGATTTTTGCTTCCCACTTTGCCGCCAATTCCACCTCACCCCATTTTTCTACACCATTCTCCTTCATCACTGGCAACCCTTTTCGACCTCATATTAGCACGTAAGAACCAGGATGGTCTTAGACCTGGTCAACGTTGTATCAACCACATCTCTACTCTTCGCCGAATCCTAGAACAAAACACTTTTCGTAGCCCCATCATTTCCATCTTCCTCGACCTGAAAGCGGCTTTTGACTCAGTCGGCCGCTCTAAACTCTGGCGCTGCCTTTCCCTGAAGGGTGTACCCGAGAAGTTTATTTCAATATTACAATCCCTCTAAAATAATAACCGAAGCCGAGTCCGACCTCGTGGCACTTTTTCGCTTGAGTTCACTACAGAAAGTGGTGTCCGTCAGGGTTACCCTCTCTCTCCACTTCTGTTAAACTTTGTCATAGATTTAATTCTTGAAACAGCCCTTTCTGGACTTGATTATTTTCGTGCGAGGATAGCGGTATCGATTTAATCCTGGGTGGCAGACTGTCTGACCTAGAGTATGCAGACGACATTGTGCTACTAAGTGAAGATTCAGATAAGTTGCAAGCTTTTCTGGATAGTTCGAGTGCTAGTGTAACCAAGTTCATTATGCGTTTTGCACCTTCTAAGTGTAAAATGCTGCTCCAGGATTGGGATGGCCTAGTCCCCAACCTCTCCCTGACCGGGGAAGTTGTAGAGAAAGTAGACAAGTTTTGCTATCTGGGCAGCTATATCTCACTGGAGGACGCATCACAGATGAGGTGTCGGCGCGCATACAGAAGGTTCGGTTGGCATTTGCTAACTGGAGACATCTGTGGCGTCGGCTCGACATCCCGTTGTCTGTGAAGGGTCGACTATATGCTGCAGCAGTTCAGCCAATTCTGCTTTCCGATACAGAGTCTTGGCCATTACGGGAACAGGATAAAAATAGATTGTCGGTGTTCGAACACCACCGTCTACGCAGCATTGCACGAGCCTGGTGGGGCAGCCGGACGAGCATTGCCCAGGTTAGGCGCAGAGTTTTAAGTGAACGCGGAAGCCCACTGGAGCAAGTGGTCGAATTCATAGATTACGCTAGTGTGCTACGCAATTCACCCGATAGGATGCCACAACGAGAGATGTTTGCCGGGGCAGACAGCGGTTGGAAAAAAATGAAGCCCTGGCAAACGAAATCCTGGTATGAGGGTATAAAAACCTTAAGCAGGACACTGGCTCACTTAGGTCCCGTAGGCTCCCTAGCTGGGACCTCGAGATCATCGTAACCGATGGTTCCAGACACCGAGCGATATTGCTGGGCGTCGTACACAGTGGTGTTCGTGCATTTACTCATTATTCTTGCGACATCAGTCTATATAAATTGCCTTTCTTCCGTTTGTGTCACTTTCAACATCCATGCTGATTCCATGCAGCCCTGCACCAAAAACATTGTATCACCCGTTATGATCTAGCGCACTCGAACTTCTCACCCGCATTCGTTCATATTTGCCCCGATTATTCGCAACTGCTCATTGTTCCATGATTGCCCTATAGGTCGGCGTACCACGGCCCACATTCCGTTTGACCCACACACAGTCACATGACTTGTCCGCATGTCTGACTGTATTGATTCTCTAGCATACCCACGCTCTGATCC